CATATTAATCTATGTGTCAAAAGTGACTTTTGACAAATAGATTAGTATCTTTGATCTTGATGTCACACCTTGGCTTTCTTTATGGTTTGGAGGGGGGGGTGTGGAAAAGAAAGTTAGTAATAAGAAAATGAACAAAGAGTTGTGGTAGACTTTGAAACTTCTTACTTTTGATTTTTCTGTGCTTACTCCTGTGCCAGCTTTGTCCTACCTTGCTTTACCTTTGCCATACCCTTGTTTTACCCTTTCTTCAGTTTGCCTTACCCTTGCTTTACTTGTACTACTCTTGCTTTACTGTTACCTTGGCTTTGTCCTATCTTTGCTATGCCCTTGCCCTACCTTTGCCCTACCCTTTCCCTGCCCTTGCCCTACTCTTGCCCTACCCTTATACTACTCTTGCCCTACCCTTGCCCTACCCTTTCCATACTTTCGTCTTACTCTTGCTCTACCCCTGGTCTACTCTTGCTTTACTCTTGCCTTGGCCTTGCCCTACTCTTACCCTACCCTTGCTCTACTTTTGTCCTACTCTTGCTTTACTCTTACCTTGGCTCTGCTCATTATTATTGTCATTCTCTGTCCTAGTTTTGCCTAACCCTGCTTATGCCCTACTTATGTCCTACTCGTGCCTTACCCTCGTCTTTCCTATTCCTACACTATTCTTGACTCAATCTTTCTATATCTTACTCTTATCTCTACCCTACTCTTGCGTTCCTCTTATTATACCCTTGCCCATACCCTCTTAGTAGCGCCCAGCCCTGCCAACACTTCTTTCAATCACGATATCAAACGCAACTAAGTTTGAAGCGCGTGAATTATAGGTTTGACGCAACAAAGAGATCCAGTAAAACGGTTTTTCTCTCCTTTGCGGCAACTTCTTTCTGGATGCAGCAATAAAGCACCATGCAGGGGTTTTACCCGAAGGCTCGCTTCTTTTAATTGGCCTTTATTGCTCATCGGAAATTTGAATAAGCGAACAAAGGTCTGGATCAGCGTGTGGATGGGTTGATTGGGGATTAGGTGTGGATGGTGTTGAAGATAAATAAGTTAGGGTTGCGCAGGGGTAGGTATGGATAATATTATGGGTGGGTTGAGTAGAAATAATATTATGGATGGGTAGGATACGGGAGAGCGTGATAGAAGTTAGACATGATATCAGGCTTATTTTAAGCCTAGGACAAGTGAGGAACGTTTTTTAGTTTTTTTTTGTAAAATACGTTATAATGTCCTGTTTTAAAAAATTTTTAAAATTTAAGAAGGTTTAGGCATAACTACAGTAATTCCAAAAGAGAATCTCCCTTTTATTAAAAAGATCAAAAAGATGTCTCAAAAGGTCGAGTCATAAAGCCAGAACTTGTGACGGAAAACCTCAATCAAGTTTTTTTATTGTAATTTGCATAAATTTGTCGTCCCGATTTCCGCGTTTAATTTCCGGCATTTTTTTGTATTTTGATCTGTGACAATGTAAAATCGCTAGGGGAATTAAAATTCGTTCGTTATGTAGAGGTTTCGTTATAAAGGGGGCAAAAATGCACTGTGTAATGATAGTCGGGGATTCAAAAGTTGTTCTTTATACGGAGTTTTCACTGTATTACTCTTTCAATTAACCTCTCTTACCTAAAAAGACCAAGTTAAAAAATGAAAAAAAACTGAAAAATATTTTTTTGTTTTTTTTATCTACCCGACCCTTAAAAACACTATATTACCTTTATTTTTTTTATTTTTTTGTTTTAACCGGGTTGTTAAAGCTCAAAAAAAATTTTTGTTCATTTTTTTTCTCTACCCTAGGTCTAAAAAAAATGTATTACCCTCCCAATCAACCCTTTCTACCTAAAAACCTCAAAAAAATAATTTTTTTTTCAATTTTTCAACTTTTTTCCAAACTTTTTTCAGTTCAAAAAACAGTACAAGACAGCAATTTTTTGCGCCCGCTTAAATTGACATTAGGTTTTCTGGGTGGGGCGGATCATTTTGAATAATACCCAAAATCACAGCTGGAGCCCTTTTCCGTTTTTGGAACGGCGGAATGCTTCTAATTTTTCTACTAAATAGTTTTTGAAGAGTAGTCAATGTCTTTGGGAATGTTTTCAACTTTGGCGGGGGTTTTTGGGTTTGGTTTGGCGTTGGGGTATTGTAGTATACTTTTGGGGATTTTTGTGTAAGAAGAGGTTTTTTAGGCTTAAATTAAAACTAATAGCTTATTTTTTTAAATATTAGGTTGTTCAAATAATACTGTGCTTCTTCAAAAAAAAGATTGGAGAAAGCGGCACAGAATTATTTGAACGATTAAATATTCGGCTTGAGGTATCATATAGTACATTTTTTACACTATAAAATATATTTTTTGTAAAATACGACCCGCCAAAAAATCAGAAAAAAATTAAAAATATTTTTGGCAAAGAACCTCTAGGGAGGTCTTATTCAAACGTTCGTAGAAAATTAAATTTTTTTCGAAAAATTGGAAAATAGTTTTTAAAACTAACCTGCCTCATGCAAAATAACACTTTAAAACCAAATAATTAGTAAAAGAAAACAAAAATAAGAACTGCCTCATGCTGGAATCGAACCAGCGACCTTCTGTTTACTAGACAGACGCTCTGCCCCTGAGCCAATGAGGCTACGTTTCGAAATGAATTTGAATAAAGATATAAAGGTCATTTTAAACATTAGTGTTTGTTTAGCAAAACAGGTGGAAAAAGGTAGCTGTTAACAGTTTGAGGTTTTAGTTATAGACATGTACTCGCTAATAACGATCAAATTTTAAATCCTCGAGCAATTTGTAATACAGTTGTTCCACTGTAATGTCTTATTGATGTTGGCTATAACAAAAGTCAACTGTAGGTTTCTAAATTTTTGTCTTGTTGTGCCTTAATTAAGCCGTTTTTAAAGCACTGCGGGTTTTAATTGGACAATTTATGGGTGAGTCGAGAAAGAAAGAGGGCGGAGCTTGTCTATTGTCTTTTTGATTAGAGAGTTCGTTGAGATCGAAGAGGCGGTTAGAGAAAAAAGGGAAAAGTGAGAAGGTTAAAAATGAAGTTTGAGTACTTCAGGTACTCTAACACAAGTTTTTAAAATGACTTTTTGGATTTTCATTTTGATTTTTGTATCACACTTTTGAAAAATCTTATGATTGATACTAAATGATGGTTTAGGATTCTACTCTAGCCCTACTTTACTTCTACCCTAGCTCTACCCAAAATCTACCCTAGTCCCACTTAATCCCTACTTTAGCCCTACCCTAGCTCTGCCTTAGCTATACCCTAGTCCTACCCAAACTTCCTTAACAACATGATACCCGCTCTTCAAAGTCAAGATAGTGCGCAAAACGAAGAGACGGCCAAAAGTGGGCGGAGCTTGATAATGGACTGCATTCGATAATTAGCATGATCGTTTTCCGAATGTGTCGCACTTGTAATTACTGTAACTTGAGAGCCAAAAAAAGTCTTTTTTTTGCATATTTATGGATCGAACAATTGGTTTTTGGCTAGGGTAATTAACACTTTTTCTTCGGGGGTCGGGAGTGCTGAGGTAATTTGTGTAAGGTGTCGTAAGCACAAGAGTAAGTGATCAAGATAGGTGGCGGGGGGGAAGGATAGGAGGAGGGTAAACTCAAAAAGTACAATGCAGATGAAGAAGTGTGTACTAATGGTATGACATTTTAGTAATAGCGGAGGGTTTTTAAAAGGTTTTCAGTTGAAATTTTTTTATTTAAAAGACATAAAATAGTTAAATAACTGCTTTACAAGAGGTATATTTAAAAAACGTATTTTACAGTGTAAAGAAGGTACTATATGATACCGTCGTTTTTGGGGGGGGAGGGAGAGGGGAGGGGGGGGTTCGGGGTGACTCTCTCCTCCCCAGAGCCGATATCTAAGAAAATTCACAGGTAGGGAACCCGTACGCAAAAAAAACAAAAAAAATTTCGAAAAATCGGTCCACAGGTAGTTATTCTTCTACTCCTACAAATTGACTCTGAAAGAGCGCTTAGAATTATTTGAACAACCTTCTACATCTAAAACAAGGTATGACGCTTCAAAAAAATATTAGGTTGTTTAAATAATTCTGTGTTACCTAATTTTATAATTTTGCTTTGAGTGTAGCTCAAAACTTTTCGAACTATTTCTATGTTTAAAATAAGATATAGCGCTTCAAACAAATGACAAGAACTTTTCAAAGGTAACTAATGGCATTGTGAAGTCTTTTTTGTAAGATTAAGCATGAAATGTGGATCAATTTGATACCTAAATCAAACGAATTTATTGAACAGTTTTTGAGTTATAACTTGGAGTTTAATTATATTGTTTTAGATGATCATATCTTCTCAATCTTTAAAATAAAAGTGTAATTCATAAATTTTGTATGTTTTGGTTAATGTACAGGGTTTTTCAAGACGTGTTCTAATACTTCGGTGTTGAATTCGTTAAAAATAAAGATTGATATAATGTAAAATAAGCAATTGCCTAAAAATGCATTTAAATACCTAACCAATTTTAGAGCATTTATGAGCAGTTGAAAATTTTTTAAACGTTTTTAAAAATTGTTTGAAAAAAAACGTTTTTTGGACTATAGTAGCTTAATATTTAAAAAAAACCTTGCTTAATCACCGGCATCTTATTAAAGTCGCCAAACATATCTTTATGCCTATAGTCTCCAAGACTATCTTTACGCCAAAGCTATCTTTACAGCCCCCATCTTTGCATAACAACCGTAATATTGTTGTAGGCACACCTGCTTGTTAATTATCATTCCTTTTATCTCTTCTTTAGACACATTTACAACACGTGCTTATTATTATATGTATCCGTCGCTTTGATTTGCATAATAATATAATTTGAATTCGAAAAAAAGTATTTAAATCCGGATGTTTTAGGGCATTTGGCGCATTCATTCAAGGCAGTACAATAACAACATAAGGATACGAAGCTAGGAAGGTACAAAGCGAGTAGGGAAGATACGAGTTGACTGTGTTGTATTGTTGGTGCTTTTTCTTTCTTTTTTGTTTTACCATGAGGATATCACAGTTATGTTCGAGTCGGATTGGGATTTTGATGCTGTTGTTGGTACAGATGTTTGAGCAGGTAAGGCATTAGGGGTATATATTGGCATTTTATAGTAAAAATTTGGCCAAGGGAGGATGGAAGTGGTAAAAAATTTGTTTTAAAATTAATCAGGGGGTGGATCATTCAAAATTTTTTTCACAAAGATTTTTTTTATAAATAAGGGTAGGGGTGAAGTAGAGAATCCTAGCCACGTTACGGTAACATTTTTCAGACCCACGCCCTCTCAATTTTAACATTCAACTTCTCAAATCAATTCCGGTCGAATCATTGCAAAGCCCGGAACTGTCGGACCAAAATCTGCGTAAAACAATATCAACACAAATTCACACCCAATGAGTACTGCATCTTCGGTGGACATACGGTAGACTGGACTTGGGTTGAGGAAGGAGATTCTCATGTCACCAAGATTCCAATCAACAACACTAGGGTAAGTTTTTTATAAGGAGGGTAGGGTAGAATATGAGATAGTAGAGCCGGGATGTTGAGTTTAGAGTAAGGCATGGTAGACTAAGATAGAGAGGAGGGGTGGAGGGGGGAGGTATAGTACAGTTGGTTATGGCAGGATAGGGTAAGGTAACGCTGGGTAAAGTATGAAAGATAGAGTAAGGTAGTTCAGAGTAAAGTAGAATAAGAGGAGGTACGGTAGGATTGGGTAAGATATATTATAGTAGGGCGGGTCTGGGCAGATTAGAGTAAGGCAAGGTATAGCAACATTGTATGGAGTAGAGTAGAGTTAGTTAAGGCTGTTTAGGATCTCGTAAGTTGGGTAAAGTAGGATAGGGTAGGGTAGGGTAGGGTAGGATAGGGTAGGGTAGGGTAGGGTAGGATAGGGTAGGGTAGGGTAGGGTAGGGTAGGGTAGGGTAGGGTAGGGTAGGGTAGGGTAGGGTAGGGTAGGGTAGGGTAGGGTAGGGTAGGGTAGGGTAGGGTAGGGTAGGGTAGGGTAGGGTAGGGTAGGGTAGATTAGGGTAGGGTAGGGTAGGGTATGGCATTTTAAAAGTTTTATTTCTTCAGAATTCCGTGACAGTCATAATTGAGACTTTTCTCTTCAACATTACGACTTTAAAGCCTTTGGAGAAAGATGAAAATGGCAACAGTTTAGTCGGTGAGTATTATTTTTACTTCATTTTTATTGATTTTTGACCATTTTTCAAATAGAGTATGATAAAAAAAACTAAGTTTTGACCTTTACCTTCCACCAAAAGCCATAAAAGGTGTTTGTTTAGAGTGTCGGTACTCCGCGCATCCTTTAAAAGTCGGGATTAGTGACAGTGGTTGGGAATGGGTAATTGGATTAGGAGGATTAGTGACAAAAGGGTTAATCGTGTGAAAGTTGAATATCAATAGGCATGGGAAACAGGTTTATGGGTATTATAAACAGGGTTTCTGAATTTGAAGTTTCTGGCTTTGGATTTGAATTTGGCTTCGGCTGTTTAAATTTAGGTTTTGGTTTAAGCTCCGGAGCCGGTGCGGTTCTGAAAGCGATGAGGTGTTGCTCCGGGGGTCTTTAGAGTAGTAGTAGGAGGGAGAGAGATAGTAATTCTATATTTTACTGGCTTTTCTGCATCGTCTTCGTCTTTTATACTGTTTTGATATGGCTATGTATCCTGAGCCTAAGCCGGAGCAGCCCTAGAGACGAAACTGCCTCAGGGCCAAAGCCGGCTCCGGAGTCGGTTAGAGCTGCTCCGAGGTGTTTAGTACTAAAATTTGAAATTTTTAACTCTAGCTTTAGCTTTGCTTTTTTATAACTTTTTCTCTTCAGCTTACGGGCTGGAGCTTAAGCCTGAGCAACTCCAAAAGCTCTAAAGCTGTAAAGCTGGAGCAGGCTCAAAGGCCTTTGGGAACTCTAATTAAAACTGATAAAGGAGCAAATTTTAAAGTAAAGTGTTTCACTTTGGTTTAAAAAAACGTCTTGTTGTTAATATATATCAGTTTATACAGTAAAAAACGACAAAGCTTTTGTTACATTTTTAAACTTAGTTTTTTGCTAAAAGCGGCTGGATTTAAAAAAAATTTATGTAGCTATACGATTACTTTTACATTATGTTGTAATCAATAAATATAGGTTGTTATATTTTAATCAATTAATATAAGCTATCATATTGTAATCAATCAATATTGATTACAATGTAAAAACATCTTGGCTATTACGTCCTACTGTAATCACTTAACATTGCAATGTCATAAAATTTTTATGGCTTGTTTTAACGATTCATTCGCTCCGAAAAAAACAGCTTCTGTATCAAATTAATGGCCTGATAAGCAGGTCAATCGACATTTATGCAAATATTGCGACACGCGTCTTATTAATGATAAGAATGTCGAGGTTTGTGGGTGATATGACTACAAATAGTACGGTAAAACATTAAAAAATTTAAAAAAAAAATTTTTTTTGAGTGAAAGTTTATAAGAGATGACTTTTAGAGGGTGCGAAAAAATGTCGTATTTTACATTATATTATTATAAAACATAAAGATAAACTATAATTCCAGATCTCCAAGTGTGGAAAGGCACATTACCATCAAAATATGCCCATATTGATACGAAAAAAGACTTGACTTTCAAATCGGAATGTGCTCTGGATTACTATGGTGAAGATTGCTGGACTCACTGTCAGATCCAAGACTTTGATAAGAGGATCGGAGAGTTTGAATGCAATTCAAAAGGGGAGAAGGTCTGCAAAGCTGGGTTCTATGGCCAGAAGTGTGACCGAGGTAAGGGTTACTGTAGTTCTTTGGCTAGAAACGCTTATAAATTGCCCTACCCTACCCTACCTTACCCTACCCTACGCTTCCCAACCTTACCCTACCTTACCCTATCTTACCCTACTTTACCCTACCTTACCCTACCTTACCCTACCTTACCCTATCTTACCCTATCTTACCCTACCTTACCCTACCTTACCCTACCTTACCCTAACTTACCTTACCTTACCTTACCTTACCCTACCTTACCCTACCTTACCCTACCTTACCCTACCTCACCCTAATATTAATATAAAATGCCATTTCAGCCACAGCATGCTCATCCGACTGCTTAAATGGCTACTGTAACAAGAACGGTGAGTGCATGTGTAATATCGGATATCAAGGAGAGAATTGCGACCGTTGTAAGCCTTCAAAAGGCTGTGCGAATGGCTACTGTGAACGGCCAAATGAATGCAAATGTTTCCCCGGCTACAGTGGCATCAACTGCACTTTCTTGAGTAGCGTCTGTGAAGCCAAACGACCGTGTTTGAATGGTGGGAAGTGCAAAAACATGGACAGAGGGAGCTATCGGTAAGGGATTAAAGGTTTAGTGTAGAATACATCTAGTTAAAGTAAGCTCAGCTAGAGTAGGTATAGGAACAGGTAGAGCACGTTAAGGTAGGATTGAGAAAGAAAAATTTAGCTATAAAGCATTTTTTTGCTTTTTAAAAGTGATATTGTTGTAGATGTGACTGCCCTCCAGGATTCATTGGTACTCAATGTGAAAAGAAGATCAACTCTTGCAATGACAGTCCTTGCCAGAATGGCGGCAAATGCGTTCAGGTATGTTATACTTTTCAAATCTTTATTTTTTTAACTATAACATACCTAAAATCTTACTTTTGGCCACAGTTTATTTTAAATGAATCTATGAAAATACTATTCGTTACAGCCATTTGGTCACCCACTATCATGTAAATGTCCAGAAGGAACGTTTGGTCAATATTGTCAAGTAAAAAGCCAATCTTGTGACGATTTACCATGCCAAAATGGAGCACAATGTTTTCAAATCAGAGGGAAAGTGCACTGTGCGTGCTCTCAAGGATACAGAGGTGACATCTGTGATCAAAAGGTGTTGGCTTGTACCGAAAGTTCTTGTGGGAATGGTAAGTTATCTAGACTGTTTTGGGACGGGAAAGTTGGGACGGGAAGATTTTTATTAGTAAAATACAAGCTCCTTTAAAATAGATTTGTTTAAAAAACGACATTTTCAGGTGGAGAATGTGTTGAAAACCCGCTAAAACCAGGTGGAATCGAGTGTAAATGCCCTACGGGTTTCTTTGGCTCACATTGTGAAATGGTGGTTCATGATTGTAGGGTAAGTTGATAAAGATAAATAATGAAAATATATTTAATAAAAACGTTTTTAAGGGAAGTTACAGGCAAAAACGTTGAAAAAAAATTAAAAAATTAAATTTGTGTGAAATACGGTTATTAATTATAATCTGTGTTTCACATAGTATTATACAATGTATAAGAAGATAAAGTATAACTATAATATAAAAAAGCAAAGTATAAAAGTAAAAATTACTTATATTGTAGTCATCACCGTGTCTAAATCAAGGGAAATGTGTGAAGAACGAGACGGGATACAATTGTCAATGCAAATCTGGCTTCACTGGAGGCTACTGTGAGATTGTAATACGACAGATGGAAGTTGAACATAAAGCGTAAGTTTTAAAATTTAAAATGTGAAATTATGGTTTTTACTGAATAAGTTCAGGCTTATTCTTAGGCTTATCTTTGGGTGTAATCATAAGTTTGATTTTAGGCTGTAGCTAGGCTTTAAAATTTAAAAAATTTTAAAAAAAATTCTTTGAAGTAAAGGTTAGCTATAACATTTCGATTTCAGCTACGTCTTCTTCTCCATTCCAATAATCATCATTACCATCATTGTGATCACAGCCTTCATCGCTCTTTTACTATTCGTCAAAAAGAACCTGAACATGCCAGCTTTCCTCGAACAAATTCAACGTGAATCCCCAGCTCCACCACCGTATTCAGAAGCCAGTATTGTTGGGACGAAACTTTTAGTGAGATCAATGTCGAATACAGAAGAATTGAAGGAATTGAGAGCAGATGAGTTAGGGAAGGGCGACAAGAGCAGGCGGAAACGGTAGGTTTTTGTGAGGGTTTGGCACTGGGATTGAGATCGTTCTCGATAGAGTAGATAAAGGGGATGTTTTTTGAGTAGAGTAGGGTCAGATTTTTTTCAATACTGGTTTTAAAAAATGCATTTCCAGATCACCATCAAACGACTACAGTTCAGAGCCGACCGAAGTCGACTCATTATATAACCACAAATCTTAAATCCCAATTACCTTTATGTTCAGCATGGTAATAGCTCAATCACTATGTACATCCGGTATTATTTGTTTATATTTTGCAAGATTTACTTTATTTTGTCTATTTTTTATTATTAATACATGTAAATTTACAGTCACTTTATATTTTTACATTTTTTACAAGAGGGTTGTTGGGTACTGTAACTTTTTTTAGCTCACACAAATTGTTTTACAAATTTTGATATTTTTAAATGTTGAAATTTAAAATTTTTTTGAATTTTTGAAAATTTTTGAGATTTTTTTTTAAAACACAATTTTTATGTTACAGTACGCAATCAATCCGTTATCTACATATATATCTTGCTTACGGTCTTACGGGTACCTGTTTATACATTCTTTTACTTTTCTAAAATGATTTTCCAAGTGCAATATATCAAATATGTGTCAATACTATACATCTTGTAATTATTGTTAGTAAAGTGCAATTATCTTGTTAGAATATACTGTAAATTGTTAGTTTTTTGTTGTTTTTGGTAAAGATAAACATAGAAATATAACTTACTGGAGCCCAGCGCCCGGCCTTGACTGGAGATTTAAAGTTGGTGTTTGCAGAGGATGCTTTGAAGGTGCTTTGAGTAATGTAAAATACGAACTTTATCAAAGCAACATCACAAATTGTTTCTGCTGATTAAAGTGTCGATGATCATGCAATCTTCGACAGTAAATTTATGCTTAGGAACTCGACTGAACCGTACAGTTCAGTCTCTTTCCTTGATCTTGTTAAAAATGTCGCCTGCTTTTGAAGCGTTCCCAGCCCAACAATTTTATAAAAAAGCAGTGCTGCGGAGGTTTTCAGGCCGGTTCGACTACCGGAATGAAGTTCTAAAACATAACTTGTCAAAAGTTAATGATTATGATAAAAGTAAGTTCAATTTTAATTTCTTTATAAGTGATAATAAAAACACTATGTAATAAATCTTGTGAGACCAAAAATACGTTCATTAAGCTGAGGGTCGGTAATAAAAAAAAGCAAAAATTTCTTAAACTTTTACTACTAAAATTCGATGTACAGTATTTTCGCTATATAAGCAATTCGAAGGGACCAACATTTAGTGTTTACTAAAAGGGGTGTTGTCTTTACAGAGAGGCTTTTTAGTGCAAATCGACTTAGGCGGGCCAAACTTATTGTTTACTATAAGGAGAGTTGCTTATACAGATGGTTCACTATATAGAGAGACCACTGTATGATCCGTTATAAAAGGCAAAACCTTCTTTAGACTTTTCAATTAAAACTTGAAGTCATAAAAGACAGAAAATGAACATTGCTGTTCGGTGTTATAACCGTTAGTCACTAGAAGTGATATCAGGTTAGTTGATGACAAATATTATTCATGCAAATGTTCTATGATGATAGGACATTCTAGAATATATTAAGTCACAATGTCATTTTAGGATACTTTTTTTATAAATTGGCAGGTAAAGGGTGGATAGATTATACGGTTTGCTGAGACAAGAGCTAAAGCTACGGCTATAGATAAGGTTAGAACTACGACCAGGGCCGGGCGCGAGGGGGGGGAGGGGGAGAGGTACCCCCCTCCCCCCCCCCAGAAAAAAATTTTCGAAAAAAATTTGAACGTGGCCCCCCTGTGGATTTTTTGGAAAAAAATTTTTCCAAAAAATCGGCACAGGTAGCGTTTTTGATTTAAAATTTTGTAAAATACGATCATTGTGATTGCTTCAGGCTAACGTAACGTGTTTTTTTTCCAATAACTACAATAATTTATATTTTTGTATTCACTTTTACTCAATTTGTATTCACTTTTACTCAGTGTAACTTATAAAAGAACATTGCCATGGTAACATTGTTAATTACTTATCACGCGTACGTGTAATTGGTATTCGCATAGCTACATTAAGCAATTAAAATTTGGGGAATTGTTACTTTGAGGTATTGTTTTAATGTTTTATTAACTTTTGGGTATTTTTGGGTAGATAACTAGTTGTTGTTGTAAAAAGTACGGTTCAAGGAACTTGGGCAATCGCCTGAGGAACAGCGCCTGCCTAGTAGCCAGAAAGTGACTGATTTGAATATGAAAAAAAAGTTTAAAAAAAATTTTGGGGTATTTTCTCTCTTCACTACAATTCCGACCTTCTTTTTCCTTATCAACATCCTCTTCCCACTCCTTGCACTTTTCAGTTTCTCTGAGATTTATCTTCTGACATCACCATCTTCTGACAAAATTCACGTTTAATCTGTGTTCCTTAGCAAATCCAATTGTCATTTTAATTTTTAAAACCTAATCTAATTTATATGTACGATATACATACTTGATATTTTGTACACCATTAGCTCTATCACGTATGCTCATTTACAACGCGTTTCTCACGTAGGTTAATAATTAATTGGCATTTGGCCAATTAAGCGGTGATTCTGTTGAGTATTAGCACATTTCCGCTTCGCATCATCTCTACTATATTTGTGACAACAATAACTGTTTTGATGTCATTTTAAGTATAATACTATAAGGATTGTAGTGCTTTAATCAATTTTGCAATTGGTATAATGTTGTTATTGTATTGGCAATCATTCTACAGTTTTCAAGATAGCATATTCGATAAACTATATTAACTAAACTGCATCTTTCGAACGGTTTATCTATTAATTTGAACTCCAGTATCACCATGTTATAGTTGTACAAGTTTTTTCTATGTTATAGCACTTCTATTATATTTTTCTATGACAATATTATAGTACAAGAAAGTCTTGATGACATCAAAATGTTAGGTCGTTCAAAATGAATACACTGTCAAAGTTAATGGATGTCATTTGGCAACCTAACATTTAGATGCCCTAAAGATATAATTGTATAATCTTCTTTACTAAACTACATGACATAAACTGGCTGTATGATATGTAGTACATGCCATATAGCCAGTTTTTATATTGTTACACATTTGAAGGGCCAATTAATTCTGAACAATAAAAAATTTTTAAAAATTAAAAAAAGAGGTTTAGTCAGCTTTATATCAAACATTTTTTGTAAAATACGTATTGGTATAAAAGTTAAAACAAAATAACTGCCAAAAAAAACAAAAGTAAGAACTGCCTCATGCTGGAATCGAACCAGCGACCTTCTGTTTACTAGACAGACGCTCTGCCCCTGAGCCAATGAGGCCACTTTTCGAAAGAAATTTGAATAAAGATATAAAGGTCATTTTAAACATTAGTGTTTGTTTAGCAAAACAGGTGGAAAAAGGTGGCTGTGAACAGTTTGAGCTTTGCGTTATAGGTGCACCTGAAAGGGCGACTATTATGCCCGGCATTGGCCTTGAAACGGGAAAAATTGAGCCCGGCTTCTTGACGTGCCTAGTTTTAGGCATGTTATAGTAGCTTTTGTGAGCCGTTTTAAATTATAGCATAGATTTACTAGAGTACTACGTTTTAATTAAAAAAATTTTTTTGAGCATGGGTTTGTATATTTACCCTTACTTAGCTAACGCTTCTAGAGTATAATTTAAGTTGTTTTGATAAAATGGTTAGCAAAAAACGTATTTTACAAAAAAACATGTGTAAGTCGTATAAATTTACTTAAGAGTTTATTTAAAAATTTATTTTTTAAGCATTCTTTCAAATTTTTTTTTGATTTCCTTGGGCCCCGCCATGAATAATTAAGGTGTTTCAAGTTATCTTCACGAATATTTAGTTGTTCTACATCCTTCGAGAGAATTATGGAAATCTCCTCACGCGAAAGGAAAAGAAGTTTGTAGAAAAGGGGAGGGAGGGTAAAATAACCGAAATGAAATAAAAGGATTATGTTTCAAACCAACCTCAGTGTTAGCTTTTTGCTATCATTTTGATTTGCTACTTTTTATGTCTGAAATTTGATAGATTGTAGAGGGGTTTGCTATGGAAAAGTTCGTTATACAGAAGTTCCACTGTACTAGGTGTGGCTAGAAACGACTAGGTTGTTTCTTAACCGTATATTTTTAAAAGTAGAAATTTCAGTATTAAGTTACATTCTGTAGTATTAAGATTCTTTGTTTCACCATATTTCTATTAAAAACCGATAAACATTTTACTACCTTGTCGTATGTACATATATTATTCACCTGTCTAGTGTAATAAAACTTTTATCAACATTCTTGTGTTTCCTATGTTTTGTTTTTTAAAGATTCGGCGTTGATTTATGTTGGTTAACATTGGATTATATAGTAAACTGTTTTTGTCCTTACTTAATAACAAAAACAAGGATTCCTTAAAGCAATGTGGTTGCTTCTTTACAAAATTTTTTTGAATTTTGTTTGCTTTTGTAACGAGCAAAGTTTAAACTTCTGAGAGATTTGTTATACATGAGTGCCACTGTAGTATCGACTTTTTATAATACAAGTGTAAAAAAGTACTCAAAATGCCAATTTCAATGCTCTTCACCTACGGCATTAAGCTTTTTGCATGACCATGGTCTTTTCTTTAACAAACGTTTTTCAAAAAGTGTCGAAATAGTAGTGCTTACGTTTTCTGCTGACGTCTTTGTTGTTTCGTAGCACTTTTATACGTTATAGTTTAGAAATTGTGAGTAATAAACTTATCAACTTTTTTTCAGTTGTTATATATAACTAGGTTAGCAAGTGTTTTACAAGTTTTAGTGCCAGTGCAATGTAGAGTAGATTTAAAAAACTTTTTTTGAAATTTTAGTTTTAAAAATGAAAATAAAATTTTAAAAATCATACGTTTTTTCGGCTATAGAACTTTTTAAGTATCTTTAGCTTTTGAACCTTATAATATGTTCATATGCAGTGTAATATGACCCAATTTCAATCATAGTTTTGTTGTTTTTGCATCCAGAATAACTCGATTGTTCCCTGAATTTTTTTTTATTTTTTCGAAATGAGTCATCGCTGTTCCTCTAGCTTTTCCTTGTTTATAACGCAAAAAGCAGTGGGAAGTTGTATTATCATCCCTTTTTAACGTTTTTCCATATTCACTTTGAACTTGCTTTGATTTTTTAAAATTTGATTAACTTACACAAGGTTTTTGTGCTTTTTTTAAGTTTTAAGCCTTCAAACTGAAGTTAAAATCTGTTTATAAGCTTAGAAAATCTTAAAGAAGCTCTAACTGTTTTATTTTTAAAGTTTAGGGTTAAATTTAAGCTGTTTTCAATGTCTTCCTTCCGGCAATCTTCGTGTTTTATTACAACACTATGCTATGCCCAAACGTTCCAATCCGAATAATACGTTAAAATTACTGTGCCCCGAGAATAATTCCACGGCTCACAAGACATGTTGAGGACATAAACATGTTCTCGAACACCAGGCCTTTCATTTCCAAACTCTTGACCGCGAAATAACGCGCGAAACGAGGAAACTACTGCAGTATACTGCGAAATTAGCGAGAGAGTGTGCGCATAGAAGAGTGCGGGTAGTGAAAGGGAAAATTGTGAAAGGAATCGAAAGATCGTGACGAGAGAAAGAATCTTGATGTGCAAAAAAGGAGAGAGCGGTTAGAGAAGGCAATTATAAAAGAAAGGGCGAGAGGAAATTAAAAACGCAACTAATGGAGAGAACGGTTAGAGAAAGGAAAAGCATGCATTACGCGGGCAGAGAAAAGAAAATGAGCGGGAGAAAAGTAGAGGGCGGTCATAAATGCGGGAGGAGGCGCGTTATTCTGGTGTTTTGCTCTCGATTTATGCTCGTGTTTTTGTTTATCCTTAATGTTTTGGCTTACTAAATTGTTTTTTGGCATTTTTGATAGTTTTTTTGTAACTGACAACGTTTTATCTATTAATTTCTAAGGTTGGAATTGTTAATTTGGCAAAATAATGTTGTTATAGGCATCAGCGAGTTCAGGAAAATAAAAATTAAAGTTAATGGTTTTTTAATGACCAAATCTTTATGAATATGGATCAGAATTAACTTTAAAAGACATTTTAGTATTTTATTTTAATAAAAATAGTGGTGAAAAACGTTGTTTTTGACTCCAAATCAAGAATCTACCTCAACATACATCAATATTTCTGGAAAGCTCTGGAAACGCTCTTTTTTTGATTTTTAAGATAATATAATGTCCCATATAAAGAATAGAACACTGAAAAGAGATTAAGGTCAATTCAAATCGATTAGCTACTTTTTTATTCGGTATTTTACGTTTCTGACCTTGTTTTCCTTGAGGCATAATGTTGTTTTTTGTTTGGCTGCGATCGATTCAACGACTCTAGTATAGTTTTTATTATCTAAATTGAAGTGAATTAAACTAGAAGTTGTGTGAAAATATATTTTTTGTAAGATTTTTAATTTTGGCCGGTTTTTATGGAAGTATAGGTAACAGTTATTACAATATATGTTTTTAAGCAAGAAGTTCTGAATTAGAGGACGTTTTGGAATTTTTTTATTGTTATCATGAGTTGATATCTATTCTGATAATAACTTAAAACGGATTTTATAAAATTTATTATTTTTTGATGTTGACATAGTTTAATATCGTGCTTTTCAAAGTTAACGTTCTTTCGCTTAAATTTACTTGCTGCAACATATAGTATATTATCATAATCTTCCTATTTTTCAGTGTAAATCAAAGAATTCAAGCAACGAAAGTACATATTCACTGATTAAAAATGGCATACAATCAGGGTCAGCCCTACGGCTTCAATCCCCAACAACAGAATCCGGGCTACGGCTGGAACGCGCAAGGTGGACAACAACAACAACAGCAACAAGGCTTCAATCCTATGCCTCCACCACCATGTAAGTGAACGTTTTGTTTTTTGTGTTAGCGTTTAGTGTGATACGTCTTTGTGTTGTTTGCTGTATCAGGTATTGTAAAGGCAGCATAAGGAGCTAGTTTGGCCAAAAAGGGTTTAGCAGGTCTTTTTATGATAGAAATGTTGCAAATGTCCTTAAGTTGTAGTATTAAAACATGTTTTGTTGAGACTTTATATTCTTTTTGGTCATACCGGTGTAATATTGTTGTATGTGTGCAGTGCGCTTGTTATCATGGCTTTAATAGTTATATTACCCTCAATTTTTGGTCCAAATTTTTTTGATGATTAAGGAGACATAAAAATGACGTTTTTAGTTTAATATTACTGAAGTTTTTGTACTTTTAAAACACAAAAAAAAACGTTTTTTTTTCGGTAACAAAAAACAATTTTAACTACATAAATTACCTTTAATGCTTGATCTTTTTGCTTCACTTTTTTTCAAGCGCAATATAACAATTTCAAAGCCATTAACTATTGATATTATTTGTTGTTTTGTGCAGTTGCTGGTGGTCAATATCAATCGGTTCCAGTGTTTCACAACAACCCCAACTATGCCGAGCAAGGTGAAGGCCCAAAGATGGACATGCATTTCAACGATCAAACGATTCGAGCTGCTTTCGTGCGCAAAGTCTTCATCTTGGTCGGAATTATGGTGAGGTTTTGAAAATTTGAATGTTTCTTATGTTTAGGTATCAAAACGGATGGATTTTTGGTTTTTAGGTATTAAAACAAAGCACTTATGACATTTACGTGTTAAAAAGCACGAGTTATTTCATTTTGGATAAGAAAAATTTTTTTTTTTGAAGGTTAGGTTGCAAAAATTAAACGTTTCGATACGTAAAGATAGGTGAATATTTATAATAACTGAGTTTTGAAAAGTTGATCGTATTTTACCAAAAATTTTGTTTTAGTTGGGCGTCGTTGCCGTTATGACTGCAATTCCATTTGCTCATCAGCCCACTATGACTTTTATCAAACAGTCACCTGGATTGTACTTGGCTAGTTAGTAAGTTTACTATTTTTTATTGGCATTTACTTTTATTTAATTTTTAATACTTTATTAAGTTGTTTTTGCACTTTACAATTCAAAAAAGCTGATTTTTAAACATTTTTTTGAGATTAGGTATGTGGTATCTTCAGATGACTTCAAATTTTAAAAATTGTGTTTTATATGACTTTTTTTTATTAAAATATTATGATACACAGTTTAAAATTACGTTTTAGTGGAGTCTTCTTGGCTGTGTACATTGCTTTGATGTGCTGCGAATCCGTCCGCCGCTCCTTCCCAGCCAACTTGATCTGTACTGCTGTTTTGGTAAGTTTTACATTACTGGACTTTAGATAAGTATAAAAAGTTTGAAATGATTCTCAAAAGCTCAAATTTTAAAGTTTTTATTAGGCTTTAAAAACTTTTGTCGTTTTTGGTTACTAATAGGTGGATAAATTGACGGCAAGTCTTTTTTTTTGGCGTTTTTATATTACAATTTAAAATTTTTTAGTGTTTAAACATGTTTTTTAATGCTGTTACTATTACTTCAAATAATTCTGTGCCTCTCAGTCCCTAAAGTTTGCTTTCAGAGGAGGCACATAATTATTTGAACGACTTAGTATTTAAAAAGACTTTCAATGTTAAACTCGCTTTTTCAGACTCTTGCCATTGGCTACATGACCATGATGTTGGCCGCCACCAAAGACCTCACCCCGGTCTTGATGTGTCTCGTTATCACTTCGGTTTGCTGTGGTGGCATCATATTATTCTCGATGCAAACAAAACATGATCTGACTTCGATGATCGGCTTCGTTGCCATCGCTTCCATGGTCGTGATGGTCTTCGGTTTGGTCGCCATGGTCTCGGCCATCTTCTTCAGAGTCGCCTGGATGTACACCATCTATGCTGGTTTGGCCGCGTTGTTGTTCATGGTTTACTTGGCCATTGACATTCAGATGATCATGGGCGGAAGAAAGGTGGAGATCAGCCCAGAGGATCACGTCTTTGCTGCGATTCAAGTCTTCTTGGACATTGTCTACATCTTCTGGATGTTGTTGCAGTTGTTTGGAGGTTCCAAGTAGGTTTTGGGGTTTAAAGAGGGGTTGAGGGTAGGGTAATATAACTTTTCGAAGAAGATTGAGTAAACAGTGTGAGCTTTATTGAGTATAAAGCTAATACATGTTGATTAGTGAGTAAAGAAGTGTTTCATATTAGCTATAACAATATAAAAATGATGTTATTTTTATTTTGAGTATAAGGTAAAGGTATATAAGTCCAAAAATAACATTGCCTAACAAAGTCTGATGTTGTTTAACATTGTAGAGATAATTGATTGGAATTCGGTGCAGTAATCCCGAACAAATTCCATGAAGCATAACAACCAGTGTATTGTCCTTGTGACGCTTTGTTCTTTAACTTATTATGTGTCTACGACTCGAAGGTGAATGTAAATTACATTATGTAAGCCTTAAAGAGTTTGAATCTGTTTTATATAAGCTTAAAGCAGTTTGCACTGTTTTAAGGACTATTGAAGCTATCTTATGTTAGCTATCTAAGTGTGGCACTGTTTTATATAAGGCTAAAGGCAGTTGAAGCTATGTTATGTTATCTATGAAGGGTTTGAAACTGTGGGAATGGCTTTTCTTGGGTTTCTATCGTTTGCCTTGACATTTTGCTTCAATTTCTTGTATTAGCATGTTGTTATAACTGAATCCATTAATCTTGTCGGGTTTTTGGAATAACGAAAATGCGAAAGAATTAATGGATTTTTAAAAAAAAGTTTAGTCAAGCCTCATAAAAGGATGTTCAAATAAATTTGCGCCCCTTAACTCCAAAAATTTGCTTTGAAAGGGGGGCACAGAAGTATTTGAATAACCTAATGTGTCTTAATATCTTCCCGTTCCATCAAGTGTGCTAAAGCTTTTTTTTGTGTTTTTCCTATGTTATCATAGAGTGCGTATGTTTGCCATAAGCTACATTAAGTAAAATTCTTTTTACTACATGCCTAGTTAAGTTAAATACTGTCAAAATCTATAATCACAACTTTTTAGTCAATTTTTCGAAATTAATCGGTTTCCAGGACACTTTTTTCAATCGCAATATTGACTAATTATGAAACTTTTCAGCAACTAATTCCATCTACCATATTTGGCTTTTACTCTCAACTTATTGTAATTTTATTGGAAGATGTCACCATACATAGCCATCGTTTTATATGTATATGAATATTTACAGCGAAATAAATTACTTGGTTTTCACTTTGATGTTTTGTGTATTGTGGCCTGTAAATTGGCTGTAGAGCCTGTAAATGGTCTATAACTCCTGTATATGGCATGTAAAACCGTTACGTGGCCGGCTGTGTCAAGTACGATGATTGTGTTGATGATTGAGGGTTGATACAGTAATAAGGGTTAAGATTTAGGCATGTCCACGTGACATATCTTTGTCCATAAATTCCATTTCCTATAAGAGAAAAGACCAATACAGTGTCAGTCATGAAATATGGTACGTTGCGGGCGGGATCCTTCATTATATAATAATTGGTTATTCAAATAATTTTGTGCCCTTTAAGCCCAAAAATTTGCTATGAGAGGAGGCACCGAATTATTTGAACAACCTAATACTTACCCTGAATCGTTCCTCCACAGCAGCATCCAACAATGGTTCGGCAAACTTTTTGTTTTCTTCTTCGTTATTGGCTTCTAGAGCACTGGTCGGTTGTTCAATTGGCTGAAAAGTTAGCTTATTACGACTCTTTATATAACTAAAGCTATATTTTTCTTTCCAAAAAGGTAAAAAATATCATTTAGAAATGGCACTAGCTGCGAGACCGACCTGTTGCTTAAAGTTTTCATTCAAAGCCAAGAAAAAGTAGTCCATAGCATCTTGAATCGAGTCGAAGGTGGCGCGAGACCTGCCGTGAATCAGCTCTCCAATATCCTGAAATAAAATATAGTTTAATTGTTAAAATAATGCTAAAAGATGAGGTTAAAAAGGCAGTCCTTCTGTTGTCATATTACTTACTTCAATACTATCCGTGCCAGCATCAATAAACTCAGGTTTCAAAATGTCAGTATAGTTTGGAGTGTTAAAAGAAGTGTCAAAGGCAAGATTTCCAGCCAAACCTTTCCCTCGGCCTACTAACACTTCTTGGTAAATACTGTAGCTCTAAAAATTTTACAAAACATGTGTTATAATATGACTATTTTAAATCGCTTCTTAAACGATGATTTTTTTTAATGTAAAATACGTTTTTAAAATAATTTATGAAGTATATGTATTAAACCCTTACCATAAGTGTAGCTCCATTTACATGAGCTAAGAATCGTAGTATCTTCAGCATTGTGCGCTTTCGTTCTGTATCGAAATTCTGAAATACAATATAGGATGTGCAAGTAAAGGTTACATATTATGTTGTCTAAGGCTTGATCCGGTCTTATACTATTTACAATATGTATGTAGTTTAGGCCTTTCTCATCCTTATATTCAAAGTTAATCTTACCTGAAACTCATCGTATTTAGCAACAACAAACACCCATGGTTTACCCAGTGAAAATATAGATTTACCCAAGTCGTTGTCAGCCTTTTTAGCTGCTAGTTTAGTCACTTGATCTCTAATTCTCTTCAGCAAAGGTGATATAACAGCTTCAATGTTTTGTGGATTTGAAGGGTCAATAAAGATGACAACAGACAAGTTATCAATATTCTTGGTGGTAATGCAAACAGAAGTTAAAGATGCTAGGACTGAAGAGTTTCCTAGCTCCCAGAATTCAGCTAGCTCTTTGTTCTGAAATGAAAGTTTAATTTTAGCCTAAAAATTAGTTTTCTAAGACTATGTAAAGGTTAAAAATGACTCCTGGGCATTAAGAGTATGTTTATTTTTTAAAGATTAACTGAATTTTTTAGACTTGCTTAAATTAACTTACATTAACTCTGGTTTTCGTAGCGAATTTATAGGCCAATCCAAAAGTTGGTTCTGCGTTTTCATTTTTGTCGAAAAACCTATTGATAAATGAGGTTTTACCCTGAAAAAGCATGTTAAAGATTCTAAAGATTCTTTGCGTCTTTATAAGACATTTTACAGTTTACTAAGTTAAGTTATCAAATACGAGTTCTTGTGGTTCGTAACTTATATTATTCATTAAGACTTCTCTTATAAACAAAATCAACTGTAAGAGTAATATTTACTACTTTATAGCTATCTTATAATAAAGAAAACAGTAGAGAACAATAGATAAACTTACACATTTATCCATTCCACAGATGAAAACTGTCTTTGTTTTGTTGAATTCAGATGTAAACCTATCTGAAAACTGTTCTATAACGCTGTAATAACAAATTAAGTTACAGTGCTCTTTCTAAGCTACAGTAATCTTAAAAAACACTCTTTTTTATAAGAGTTACAGCAAAATTTAGTATAAATACCAACCTTTTTCATTTCCATTAGTTTCAGCCTTTTGTTGTTTCAACAGTTCTATTCCTTTATCGAAGATATCAACAAATGCCATTTTTCGTATAACAATAACCAGAAATTTTTAGTAAAATACGTTTTTTTCTAATTAGGTTTATATTAAAAGCTTTTTTACAAAAAAAAACTATTTCATTTTTATAAAATACGTTGCATAGCAACACTTCTATTGCTTCAATCAATAGTGTCGTTTCGTTACAAATGGCGCAAAATTGAATTTTTCAAAAATGACGTTTCTTTTGGATTCTAAACGTCAAATTTTATTTAAAAGTAGTATTTTACTAAACTGTATAATATAAAAACATTTTTTCAACACTATCTATTATTCTGTCTACCGCCACTCGTAACATGACCGAGATCTCGAACATCTTCAACCTCTTGACCGTGAAACTACCGACGACACTTTTCAAAACATAGTTTTAATTTACTAGGCGTTTCGGTTCATTTTTGAATGCCGGGTCACTTTATGTACCGGTATTACGTTACACCAAACTTTGGTGGTACCAAGTCGGAAAGTACCACTACTTTGCAGAGCAGTCATAGGGATGAAACTACTTTTTGTGAGTTTAAACTTTATTTTTGTGTAGAACAGAGATATTACAGTCAATATTACGGGTTTTGGGTAGTAAATGTACTTATTTTATAGTCGTACGATGCTGTCTGTAATAACAGTTTACTATAACATACTCATGACTTTTTTGTTTAACAGCTCACTATATATTGTTCAAATAACTCTGTGCCCTTCTTAAAAAAAATTTCCAAAATTAGGGAGCACAGAATTATTTGAAAATCGTAATATAGCAATAGTAAAGTTATGAGTATATTATGATAGTAAACTAATAGGTTGTTCAAATAATTCTGTGCTTTCTAACCTTAAAAATTTTTGAAAGGAGGCACATAATTATTTGAACAATATAATAAATTATCATACATACATAACTTATAATAGTGATCAATTTAGATTGGATGATACCATGCTTTGGAGCCCTATGTATCGGCTTCAGCTTGGTTGGTGTATTCACAGTGGCAGTAATGTTACCAGCTGCATTGTTTCGGTTGCATAAAACTCATGAATACGTTAATATTCATGCTAACCATTTTAAGGTAGGCTTTTAAAAATACATTACTTATTAGGTTGTTCACCTAATTCTGAGCCCCTTTTTAAAGCAAATTAGGAGGTGTGGAGAGTTGGGAAGAACAGATTATTTGGACAACAAGCTAAAAACGAAACAATTTTGAAAAATAGGTCGAATTCAAGAGAAAAAACTGTAATTTGACAGTATTAGCTTTAAATATGATGTTTTAGCACCAGACCAACAATTTATGGTTTGAGCTCGGCCGAGTTCAAAAACAATGGCGTTTACGAAGAGATCACGTCTACACAAACCAAACTGAACGTAGGTTAACAAACGGGTAATAAAAATTGATAAAAGGCTTAAAATTTCAAAAATATTTTTAAAAATTTGACTTTTTTAAAATTTTTCTTTAAATTTTTGCTAGGACTTTGGCTAGGACTAGACAAAGTTTTCAAAGCTTTTTTTTTAAACTTAAAACTCTAGCTTCTATATATGTTGACAACGAATTTTTGAAGTTACAGTACCAGCACTCCCAGTATTACCAGTACCACAAGGTTTCATCCCTTTTCCGTTTCACAAAATTGAAATTCGAAGACGTCCACAACCATCAGATCGCTTCGTACCTAATGATTCAAACTTTGATTTCGATGACAATCTAGAAGATACGACCATACCTGAGAAAACGTATTTTACTACACAAAATGAGTACTGTAAGTCAATTTTTAAACTGTAAAATATTGTAATTTTAGCCGAAAGAACCACAGTATCCCAAAAGCAAATATTTCGAGTGACCGTCAAGCCTAGACCTCGCCCAGTACCACCCTTATCAATGAATTCATTGACCAGTGACAAAGCCAGGCAAACCTTTGACTATTATCACCAACATCTTAACAATCCACCAGCCACCCCACCACCGCCAATCTTCTATCCTCCCCCACCGCCCATGCCCACTTATACCAAGAGTTCTGGCTATGTCACACAATGTATCGGACCACCAGGACCACCTGGAGCGGATGCAGAAGACGGTCCGGACGGCGCTACAGGTCCTAATGGAGCTCCTGGTGCCGATGCTATATTTGAAAGACTACCAGCACCATGTCAAATATGCCCTCAAGGCGCGCGTGGTCCTATTGGCGCTCCAGGACCAGCCGGATCAACTGGTTATGGTGGTTCACCTGGTTACCCCGGCTCGACAGGTGAACCAGGAGCACAGCCTGATTGTCCAGGTCCTCAAGGATACCCGGGATTTCCAGGTCCAAAAGGGATACCGGGAGAACAAGGTGCACCAGGTGTGGACTGGGTCAGTGGTATTGGAGCACCTGGAGGTATGGGAAGTGTTGGCAGTGTGGGACCACAAGGACCTCCTGGACTGCCTGGAAAATCGGCTTTGTTGTTTGGTGTACCAGGACCAGCGGGTGATCCCGGTGGAGATGGTTGGATTGGAGCTGATGGTCTGGCTGGCCCACCCGGACCCCCAGGCGAGCCTGGCATTGATAAAGGGTAAGAGGCCTATGTTGAATTTGGCATTGTTACCTAAAAATTAAATTTAAACGTTAGATTACGTTTCAAAAAATAAATTTAAACTTTAGAACGTTTTTCAATGCCTTATCTATTAATTTATGTTCTATACAACCTCTTTTATAGGTATTGTCCATGCCCATTCCGCAACGAAAGCCCTTATGTTCAACCTCGGCAAAGTAACTATGGCCGTGGAAGAAAAAGCTTAAAATCATAATAACATAATAAAATTTTGTTTAATAACGTAATAAATCATTTAATTCGTCATCTATAGACTTTTAATTTACAAAAAATAACTCTTCAGACGAAGATCCATTATTTATAAGATTTTCTTTGGTTTATCACAAGATTTTGAGCTAACCAGTCAAATATCTTTTCTGAATTTACGAAAACCATAAAGATTAATCTGTTTGCAATTAAAAATTATCTTATGTTACTAGTTTTTACTATTTTACTAACTGGTAAAGGCCTAGAACAATATCATTTTACCTTACTGTGAGTCCCGCCACGAAAAACAGGAATCGATGTTCAAGTTTTAGCATTGTGTTCTATTATTTTCGCTAGGATTTTCCGTATTTTTTGCACGTTCTGCGCATTTGCGTAGTATTGTAAAGTAAAGTACAATACATAATTCTTCTTTGTTTTAAAAATCATTTATTATAGGTAGACCAACATGATCAAGTTACTGCGCTCTCCCATTCAAGTCAACAGTAAGTTTTATGGTTTTGTTTTTGAATTTTAGGTATAAGTCTTTAGATGAAGTTTTGATCGTTACGGAATGAAAAGCAAGGTTTTATGCAAATTTGTTATGTGTTACAGATTTAAACGTTAATATTGTTGTTTTAGAGACTTTGGATAACTACTTGAGACTTTCTCGCCTTCAAACCATTAGATTCTATGCTGTTCCTGGTGGAAAAGCTGCGTTTTCCAGAGAAAAACCTCATTTGAACGTTGGTACGATCGGTCACGTTGATCACGGCAAAACTACTCTTACTTCTGCTTTGACCAAAGGTAATTATCCTGTTTCAACTTTATGTATTGTTTCTTGGCTAAGATCTAGTGTCTTTACTGTTAAATATTATAAACCACAAAGTATTAGATGTTTTAAAATCTACTATAATAATTTTTAGTCTTGGCTACAAAGAAGGGAGCCAAATACACCAAATACGAGGATATTGACAATGCTCCACAAGAGAAACAACGTGGTATCACCATCAACGCCGCTCATTTGGAGTACCAAACTGAGAAACGGCATTATGCTCACATTGACTGTCCTGGTCACGCTGATTACATCAAGAACATGATCACTGGAGCTGCTCAAATGGAAGGAGCTGTTCTTGTTGTCGCCGTTACTGATGGACCTATGCCACAGGTAATCTTTTGTTATATTATTGCTGTTTAGGTGATTAAAAAGTAATGGAGGCAATATTGGACTAAAAAGAGCTGGCTTTGGTGTTAAACAAAACTTCTCCGGCAGAATTTGTTGATTTATGGGAAAAGTTTTAGACCATGGTGCATATTACAGGGTCATTAGAGAAATTTGAATAAACTAGTACTAATTTTGAATATTTTCCGTTAATTTTAAAAATTCGGCGGACATTCAACTTTTCGGCGGAGACTATTACTCAGCCCAAAATCCATATTTTTTCTTTAAACAAAAAGATTTAGCTTTACATTGTTTGTTTCTACGCGTAGTTTAAATTTCTTATCGTTTGGTTTAAGTATGACAATTCGGCGAAGGCACATGATTTCGGCGGAGATCATAACTCAGCTTAAAACTCATATTTTCTTCTCAAATAAAAAAAATTGAGTTCTTAGCTTTTTAGTCAACTTAACTTTTAAATTTCGTCATTTTTACGCTAATAATGACAATTTGACGGAGAGCAGTGTTACCGGTGGAGGCCATATCTTGGCCCAAACTTAATATTTTTTCATTTACTAAAAATGTTGAGCTTCTGAAAACAGCTTATAAACATTAATTTTTTATTTGGTGAGAAAATATTAAGTTTGGGCCGAGATATGGCCTCCACCGATAACACTGCTCTCCGCCAAATTGTCATTATTAACGTAAAAATGACGAAATTTAAAAGTTAAGTTGATTAAAAAGCTAAGAAATCAATTTTTTTTATTTGAGAAGAAAATATGAGTTTTAAGCTGAGTTATGATCTCCGCCGAAATCATGTGCCTTCGCCGAATTGTCAAACTTAAACCAAACGATGAGAAATTTAAACTACGCGTAGAAACAAACAATGTAAAGCTAAATCTTTTTGTTTAAAGAAAAAATATGAATTTTGGGCTGAGTAATAGTCTTCGCCGAAAAGTTGAATCTCCGCCGAATTTTTAAAAATAATAAAAATTTTTTAAAATTTGTACTATTTTATGCGTTTTAATGTCACAATTCTGCTAGTTTTTGTCCGAAGAAAAAATATTGAGTTTGAGCCGAGTTATATCCTTCGCCGATAAAAATGCAGTCTCCGCCGACGCGGAGAAAAAATAAATTTTTTATAAAAATTTATGCTATTATCTTGCATCGAAACAGAAAATCGAGGAAATTTGAAGATTTTGAAGAATTAATCTGCCACATTTTGCGTCTCCGCCGATCCTCCGCCGACCGTCCGCCGAACTCGACCAAAATAGTAAAATTCCAAAATGGCTCACTATTGGGTACCATATAAAAAAAGAATCAGCTTTTTAGTACTCCTAGTTTTTGAGTATGAAGCTTTTACTTTCCTTCAAATTTCTCTAATGACCCTGTATAATAAAACGAAGTTCTAAAAGATTTTTCAAACAAAATGGGGCTATAATTAACTTTTTCAGACTCGTGAGCATCTTCTCTTGGCCAAGCAAGTTGGTGTTCCACTAGAGAACATTGCTGTTTACCTGAACAAGGCTGATGAAGTTCCAGATGCCGAAACTCGTGAACTTGTAGAAATGGAAGTCCGAGAACTTTTAGCCGAGTATGGTTATCCAGAATCAGCTCCAGTAATCATCGGATCCGCTTTGTGCGCATTGGAGGGCAAACAACCAGAATTAGGAGAAAACTCGATCAAACAACTTTTGGAAGCTCTGGACAACTTTAAGATTCCCGAGAGAGATACCAACACCGCTCCTATGTTTGCCTGCGAGCACGTTTATAACATTCAAGGTATGGACTTGCTAGTTTTATTGGAGTTCTAACTTCTTTGAAATACCCTAGATTGTTATTGACGTTTTTAGGCCGTGGTACCGTGGTAACAGGCAAACTGGACCGTGGTGTGTTCAAGAAGAACGACAAGGTCGAAGTTGTTGGCTATGGCAAATCTTTCCCTTCAGTGATCTCAGGCCTTGAGTCATTCCGTAAAACTGTCGACGTGGCTCAGCCTGGTGACCAGCTTGGCGTGTTGTTGAAGAACGTTCCAGCCAAGTCCTTGAGAAGAGGATGTGTCATCGTTCCGGCCGGTACCGAAGTGGACAAGAAGTTTACCGACAAGGCAAAGGCTCAGCTGTACTGTTTGAAGAAGGAGGAAGGTGGATCCAAGGTTCCAATGGCCAATCACTTGCTGCAACACTTGTTCTCCTTGACATGGGACGGTAATGCTACTTTGAAGATTGAGGGAAAGGACTTCATCATGCCTGGAGAGAATGCTGAGTACGTTTTGAGGGTTTTGTTGCATGTTTTTTGCACTAATTTTGTTTTTTTTTGCTTTCAAATTTGATTTTTAAGAGCTTAATTATCTAAAAGTGACATTTTATACCCCTTTAACCGGTTAAAATGATAGTATTTCAGCTTCTTATTAAACGAAATTTTATTATGTTAACACTATTTCATTAAATAAACCTTAATTTTTTCAGGGTTGTAATCTCAATGTCCCAGAAAATGTACATTGAACCCCAACAAAGATTCACCATCCGTAAGGGCGATGTTACCGTAGGCACCGGCGTCTTCCTAGAAGCCCTAGCGCCGAAGACTGAAGAAGAGAAGGACCCCAAATACATGAAGAAGTTGATGAAGGAAGAGATGGAGCGGCTCGGCTTCAACCCATACACTCCCGAGATGGAGAGGCGACTGAAGCCGGACTACTCCAAAGCCTCGGGCGAAAACCCCATGGCTAAGGAGTTTGCCGAAAACGCCTAAACTCTGACCTCTAATTATGATCTGTTAGGAAAATGCTCTTTACTCTTGATTGTTACGTTCATGTTGTTATTTGTTTGTAAGTCTGTATCTTGAAAATAGAATAAATATTTGAAAATCAGTGGTGGAGCTTGAGGTTTTTTGAAAATTGTGGGAAAAATTAAAGAGTATTAGGTAAAAAAGACCTTGATAATTAAAAAGTCAATAAACCATATCAGTTGGTCAGTATATTTACAGTCATAAATCAACAACAGTGTTCGGATCCGTCTGAAGACAGTTTGTTGGCCGTCTCTTCCAACAACTCTTTCATGGCCGAATCACTGGCTTCGTCCATTGGTCGGCGGCCAAGATTGTCAAATAATAGTGGATTTGCACCGTTCTGACATAAAAACTTGGCTACTTCCAGTAAGTTGCGATGAACGGCCTGGAAGAAAGGTTTTAAATGTTGTACGTACTGGTACGATAAGTTCTATAAGTTGAGGAAGATGACAAAATTTACACTATATCCTTCAAAAATCTTTATTAAAAACTCACCACATGAAGTGCCGTCCTTCCGTCATAATCCACTTCGTTAGGCGAAGCTCCAGCTGCAAACCATGCCCTGAGGCCTTCAATATCTTCTTGACTGGCTGTTAGACAAAGCTCCGTACCTACTCTGACACTGTGAGCGCTTAAATGGGCCCCAGCGTTCCTTAAGGTTGTAATAATCTCCAGATTCTTGGTCTGAATCGCTGCTTGTAAGGCGTTTTCGTGGTCTGCATCTCGCACGTGAACGGAAACCCCATGTTGTAGTAGGTATTGCACGCTTTCTAGGTTTGCATTAGCTGCTGCCACATGTAGCGCGTTTCTTCTGTTGTAATCTGTGTTGGCAAAGTTAGCGCCACTCAGACGAAGTGATTCCAACAACTTGGTATCATTAGTGTGAGCTGCATGAGACACTAACGGAGTGAACAAAGCTTCCTTTAACAGTTTGGTCTCGTGTGACGATGAAATATGAAGGTATTTGGCTAGTCTGGGGACTGAAACAAATTTAGATTAGATTTAAAAGTATTGCCGAAGATTTTCTAGTGATTTTTAAAGGTTAATATAAGAGAACTGGATCAAAAACAACACCCTTTTTATGCCTAAAACAACGTCAAACCCAACATTTTTCTAACTTAACACCTTTTCTACCTAAAAATACAACAAAATATAAGCCTTTCAACAATTTACAACCCAAATAACTTACTGATATCAAGCTCATTCAAAGCCTGGACCTGTTGAATGGTGAGTTCTCCTCGAATATTCTGAACCAACATCAATTTCTTCTCCTCTATTGAACAATCACAGCTCAACACATAAGCTAATTTTGTCAAAGCTGCTTCTGTAGTCATGTCGGAGCCTGGTATTACTCCGGCGTTTGATAAAACCTATAATTTTAGGTGATAGCACAGCTTATTTTAGAGTTTTAGACCTTTTATGACCGTTTTTAAAGCTTTTTGGCTAATATACCTTGTTTTTAAGCCAAACTAAGGTATGTTATGCATCTTAGAGATGGTTTATAGTATTTTACACCATCTTATCGTACCTAAAAGCCTGATTGTTTCTGAGAACACTATGTTATTATACCTAAAAAGCAAAACATTTCTTCAAAATTCTATTACCTTTCCCGTAGCATAACTAGTATTAACCCGTCCTTTCAAACATTGTGACACATTCAGCACCAAACATCCTCGATCCACAGCCGCTTTGATCTCATCAATAATGTCAGTTCTCCTCAACGGAATATTGCCACTTCCATAAGTTTGCAGCACAACACCTTGAGTTGGCGGCCGAAGCACTGCTCTCACTGATTCAATGGGTATTGATGGGAAGATACGTAGAATACTCACATTCCGACACAATTTATCCGCTACATTGAAGGTTGCGATCTCATTCGAACGGAAAATGTTCTCCCAATTCACTGAAAGAGAATAGAAATGAAACGGAAAGAGAAACGAAGCGTGCCTCATTGGCTCAGGGGCAGAGCGTCTGTCTAGTAAACAGAAGGTCGCTGGTTCGATTCCAGCATGAGGCAGGTTCTTTTTTGCGTATTTTAAAAGTTTTCAAAGACAAAATTAATGCTTTTTTGTTGTTTTTATGCTTTTTTAATCCAAAAAACCAAAAAATTATAAAAGAAGATTTAATAAAAAGCAAAAACTCACAAAAAACAAAATATCGCCTTACCACTGATGGAAATATCCATGACGGCCAAAGGAGTATTGTTGGGTGATGTAAAGGCGTCCATTCCCCAATTATCAAGTTTCGTAGTCCGATTACCGCGCAGTAACTTATTGTTGAAGTAAACACAAACCTCTGGTATATCAAGATGACCAGCTACAATTAGAGCACCGATCAGATTCTCACGACCGTCTGAACGAACTTCTGCTACTGGAATCTGAAAAGAAGTTTTATTTTGCAAAATATTTATTTACAAAAGAATGAAAAGCCTGAGAATTACAAAAATATTCTTTTTTACCCTACCCTACCCTTACCTGACTTCCAGTAACCACCACAGGTTTCCCCAACTGCTCCATCATGAAACTTAAAGCACAAGCCGTGTATGCCAAAGTGTCAGTACCATGTAGTACCACAAATCCATCGTAGTGTTGATAAGACTTTTTAATGTCATGAGCAATTCGAATCCAATCATCGAATGTCATATCACTACTGTCCAACAATGGCTCGTATTCTACTACCTGTAATGTCATAAGTGAACTTTGAAAAAACTTTCTTTACAAAACGAAAAATAGCAAGAACTTTATTTACAAATCATAAAATAGCAAGAACTTTCTTTACGACCCAAAATCTCAAAAAAAAACGTTATTTGTTACCTAAAAGTACTGTAACATACCCAATAAGTAACTCGATGATTGAAGCCCTTAACTGGCGGTAAACAATACGGTTTGATGTCACAATCAAAGTAGTGTTTCTCCACATATTCTTTGTCATTCAACGGCGGTAGTTCTCTTATTGCACTTGGTAAGAAATGAGGTTCTGGTGAGTATACTGTAATATAAAATTTATAAAATTTTTAAATTTAAGTAACAAAATCAAAATTTTTTAAAATAATTACAATGAAATGTAAGGCAGAATACACTTTCCACCTTCTCTTGACATATTTTTAGAAAAATCCTGAAAAATTTCAAATTTCAGTTTTCCCGCCAATTTTGGCATTGTGTTGCAAATAACGTTTTTAGCCAAAATTTGACAAAAATAGAGAAATTTGAAATACAAAATGTCATTTTTGAATCAATTTTGCTGTCAAAACCCACCTCCTTCATTGTTTTTCATACCGATAGTACCGCCCGTATATAGTACTAGTACCCGATTTTCGTTGACATTTTCATGAATAGATGATAAGCGATGTCTCCCTGGTTTGTGTAGCAAATGAATGTGATGGAGAAGCTGAAAATAGGTTTATACGCCCAGCCGTACTGAAATGTACCAATTTATATGCCCAACCGTACTGAACAGTACCAAAAATATTAAAAAGTAAGGTCACACAGTACCACTTACAGAAGCCGAAACCTTCTTGACGCATTCAGGTGTGGCAATAGTCAAAGCTCTATGTGTAAATGTATGATCAATTGGCACATCGTTCTTATTGCTCTCCGTCTCATTCTCAAATTCGTCTTCTGTCACAGTTTGAGTTGAGCTCATCTTTGAAGTCCTCGAAGGTGGGGTCGGGATTCTGGTTGAGAACTTCTGAAAATGACAAATTAAGTCAATGCTACTCCCAATTTAAAAAAAAATTAAAAAATAAACTTCAACAAAGATTAAGCGAGTTAACGTTCTATAAGGTTAGGCACACTAGATTAGAACGTGATAGAATAGAGGCGGATCGGGGTCTGAATTATGGTAAAGTAGAGTAAGTTAGAGTAGAGTAAGATAGTATAGAGTAAGGTCGGATAGAGTAGCGACCAGTAGGCTAAGGTATTATAAATTAGTGTAGAGTGGCGTAGGATAAGGCAGAGAAGGATAGAGTAAGATAGGGTAACTTAGAGTAGAATAGGTTAAGGTAAAGTATGGTCGCGTAAAATAGGGTAAGGCAAAAGCAGTAAGAGCAGGGTAGGTTAAAGTAGCGTGGAGTAATTTTGAGTATGGTAGGATATGATAGGATAGGGTAGAGTAGGATAGGGTAGGGTAGGGTAGGGTAGGGTAGGGTAAAGTAGAGTAGGGTAGGGTAGGGCAACTTATAATTCGTATAATCTGAAGCAATATAAGATCTATATTATTAATAAAAAGTTAGATAAAAGCTCAAAATTACGCGCGTTTTTTTAATTTTCCAAAAACCGAAAACAATTGATCAAAAGATTGCAAGCTCAACGTGGTTAAGGCGTTGTATAAACACCGGAATCAAAGCGAAAAAGTCAGTTTTTACTGTAAAGTTTGGGGAAGTCTAGATGAATTTCGTTGAAATTTTGAAAAGTTTTGTGAACGATCAAAAAGTAATTGTTGAGCTTTAAATGTTTGGGCAGTAATAAGGGGATTCTATTGATATAACTATTGTAAAACATAAAAAAGTTACCATTTTCCTTATAGTATAGTTCTAGTAGTACTGATTGTTAAAACTATACATCTAAGAAGTACAGTAAGAACCAGCAAAAGCAAAAAAAGTGCAGAGAGGTAATAGTACTCATGATAATATAGAGAAAAATTCAAAATAGAAGTTGGGCTACTATTATAAAACAGAAATTGGCTGGGGATTTAAAAACTGTTCATTATATGGGATATTCTTAGTAAAAGAGTTGTTTATACAACAGTTTTCCTGTACCTATTAAACGCAAAAAATAATATTAAAACCTTTTCAAATCCAAAAAAATCAAAAAGAAGAGAAAAAACAAACTGAAGATTTAAATACAGCTCTGTTTGACAGAAGGGACATAAATTTAGGCCGTTCTTCTTGCTCTTTTTGTCTGAAAAAAAGGGAAAAGTGGCCACATGGTCTGAGCATGCCCTCTCCCACAAACTTTTTTTAAAATTAAAAAAAGGTTGAAAATGACCGGATATACGTCAAAAATAAGTTTGTGCAAAAAAAAACTTAAACTAGGGTTAGGAAATTGAGATTTTTGTCTAAAAGTAAACAGAAAAATTAAAAAAATAACAGAAGGAGACAACCAGAGCCAAAGCTTAAAGAAGGAATAAAACTAAGGTTAGGGCTGGAAATAGAGAGTAAAATTAAGGCTAGGACTTAGAAGAGAGAATAAAACTAAGACTAGAGCTTGGCGTGGATAATATAACTATGGTCAGATAATAATAATAAAGCTAGGACTTAGAATAGAGTTATGGCTAAACTAAGTTCAACTCAATGTAAGAGAATTCCAGCGTCATTTCGATAAACCTTATATATTGAAAAACAAAATTTCAAAACTACAGTACTAATATACCCATAAAAATACATAACTTACCTTTTCATACCTCTGAAACCCTTTGAAATCTTTAAAAACACTTCTTCTTACAGTACAATGATATCTAAAACAATAAACTTTAGTCAGTGTAATATGAATAGGCCTTGCACAACCGAACATAGTAAAAGTTTATTTGAAAATGCAATTGTATCAAAATTAAAAAACTTTCTTCAGATGTTGATTTTTATAAAGTATAACATTCTTGACAATTTGAGCTTGAGTAAAGTCTGTAGAATCTCAGTATGAGTCTAATGGAGACTCGTCGTACGGTGGAGGATCCATATTTGGTATATGACCGTCATGTGGGACTTGGTTGGCCTATAAGTTGAAGAGTAAGCCTTTTTTTAAGATTTTTTTGTTTTTCAATTCTTAAGCTTCCCCCGCTCTTTTAATATACCTTTCATTCACCCACCCTATCCAGATCAAAGTCTAAAGCAAGACAGTTCTATATTGTCAATGTTACAGTAACAAACTTACCACACTGTACATTTCAGTGATGTGCTGATCCAACTGTGGATCAATCCTGAATTCATTCAGCTCGTACTCATTGCTCAAGAATGTGCATTGACGTGGCATGAACATCTGGAACATTCCCGCGAAGCCAGAGCCTTGCTTTTGAATTTCGGAGAACGGGCGGGTTATTCCTTCCTCAAAACGTCATTTTAATATTTTTTAATTCAAAAAATTCAAAAAGTTCAGTTCAAACTCACTGTAAGCAACGACCCAACAATTCCCTGACATCTCAAGTTCAGCTTGACTTTGTAGCACTTCAAGAAGCACTTTCCAACTCGACAGGCTTCGTTTGTTGTCAATGTACCCATATGTTTGTCGAGCAATTTGAAAAAGCTAAAATCTTTTTCCAGAAAATGCTTCACCGTCAGTCCAGCAGCCAGGGCATGAGGTTGGCAGTTCACGTCACAACCTAAAGTGTTGTTTGTGAAAACTTTAAAATAATTTTGAAAAAAAATGCTCTGTAGCTATCGAATTTGAAAGTTAATTGTAAATTCATTCATTACAACTTACTTTCTCTTACACTAGCAAAGTTTTCTTGTACACAAGGTAGCAGAGCATCCATAGCTAAAAATTGTGTTTCTTAAATTAAACTTCAGTAAAACTAGGTAAAGCTACAGTATGACATGAATAGATAGATGTGTTGGGGTTCACTAACACTAGACTAATATAGCAGACATGACGTAGGAATTAACTAAGACTACAGTATAGTTATTGTAGAGGTACTAAAAGGGTAGAATAAGGCTTTTGAAGTGATGACAAACAAGGATAAGGCTGGGTATATAGTGCTTGGTTTGGTCTAAAATAGAGCTACGATAAGGGTATGGTAAAGCCTAGAGTATAGTTAAAGAAAAGATAAGGTTTGGCTAAAGTAATGCTAGATTTGGAATCTCAAAACGCTAGTTGACAAGGGTAGAACTACGATAAAGCTAGTGTATAGGTTAGGGCAAAGCCAATTGTAGGCTCGGATCGGACAGGGATAAAGTAAGGGAAGTGCTAATGTACAACAAAGTTACTGTCATTATTAAATAAAGAAAAAATGTGTCTACCGTATATCGAATTTGAAACTTTTTTTTGCAATAAAGGATTAATTACTATACTTTTTAAAACATGTTTTAGTTAATTAAATACTATATAAACTGATTGCTCTTGACGTTTATTACTAATATTTTAAATGTGAACTCTAAAACATATGCGGCTTAACTAAAAGCGCTTAAAAACATACTGATTCCCCATTTACAATCTCTAAAATTAACTGTAATTTAGTAAAAACTGAGTGTAAAGTAATGAAAAAACAGCTCAAGGTTGTGAAAAAGTAATTTACGTAAACGTTTTTACTTTTTTACTTTTAAGCTTATTGTAAGAAAAAATGTTTCAAATTACTGTAGTTTTTTTAAAGCCTAGGGCTCGATCTAGGGCTAGAACTGTAGCTAGAGCTAGTAAAGCTTAGGCTCTGGGCTAGGGCGTTGGGCTTAGGCTCTGGGCTAGGGCTCTGGGCTAGGGCTTTGGGCTAGGGCTCTGGGATACGGTTGTGGGTTAGAACTAGAGCAAGAGCTAGTAAAGTTTAGGCTCTGGGGCTAGGGCTCTGGACTAGGGCCGTAGGCTAGAACTAGAGCTAGAGCTAGTAAAGCTTAAGTTTTGGGCTAGAGCCTTTGGGTTAGGGCCTCTGGGCTAGCACCTCTGGGCTAGAGCTCTGGTCTAGGACTTTGAACTAATGCTCTGAGACTAGAGCTCTGGGCGAAGAGTCTGGGCTAAAGCTAAAGCTAGGGCTGAGACTAGAGCTAAGGCTAGGGCTGAGGCTAGGGCTCTGGACTAGGGCTCTGGACTAGGGCTCTGGGCTAGGGCTCTAGGCTAGGGCTCTGGGCTATAGCTGAAGCTAGAGCTACGGCCGCCAGTACTATCTTCATTACTATGACTTTAGTACTGTAATATTATTTTTTACTTTACAAAATTGCATAAGCACTTTTCTTACAATAATATCCGCTTTACAGTGGATAAAAGTTCATATTGTTGGCTATTGTAATATCACTCCCATAAAAAACTGTTTTTTACATTTTCTCCGCAAAATCTTGGCAAAAACAAGTTTTTATGCACTACATTTTACAATGTTCGGAAAGTAATTACATTTTTCATAATCATGTTGTTTTTAGTTACTTTGATATTGTTTTTGCACTTTTTTGGTGTAATCTACTCAGAAATGGGATTGTATGTGTGAGGTCTACAGTATTAGGGCAAAAAGTAAATCTTTGTATTAAAAACAGTAAATTACTGTAATGTAGTAGAAGTACTATAATAAAAAAGTAAATTTCATAGAGTTAGACTTGCCTTTCTAGGCTTTTTTATAAGCGTACAATCTTATTTTAGGCTTTACTTGAATATAAAAAAACTTGGTAAATGAAAGACTAGATACATAATAACCAAAAATCTTATGTATTCTCACTTATATCAAGGTTTAATGTAGTAATGTATACAGTTTGTCTTACCTGTTCGTTGTTGTTCACAAAGGTACTGCAGCCCGCTGCTGATTGAATCGAAAAAGTTAGTCACTTGGCAATAGTACTTCTTCTGCATACATTCTTTGGCTTCGAAGTAGCGTCTGAAAACAATTTTCATTTTTTATTTAAGTTTTTGTAAAATACGATAATAGCTGTCTGCTAAGGCCTAATAGCTGCCTCCCAGGGTTAGTTTTTATGGATGATTTCAATTTCAGCAAGTTTTTCAACGGTAAAGCTGCTGCAGGAAGAATGGCATTTTTAACAGTTGTTGCAAAAATATTGGCGCAGTTTAACGCTGATCTAAAAAGAATGACGTGTTTTAGCGTTGGTGCAAAAATAATGGCGTATATCAACACTGATCAAAGCAGAATAACATTTTTTAAAGATTATGACAGGGGCCACAAGGGCACGTTTTTTAAAGATGATGCAAAAATAATGGCGTGTGTACTGTATGTCGTACTAATTATAATGGTTTGGTACTTCCGTGATATGTTTATATAAAAGATTACAAAACAATTTTTTAATCTTTCACTGAAACAATATGTAATATAAAGTATTTACAGCCGCTTAACAGTTCAAAACAGTTTAGGAGTCAGACTACAAAGTAGTTGAACGTCTGGCTAAATGTAATTGCTGCAAACTATGGCACGTATTTTTTTATAAAAAATTGTTTTTGATGATAAACATTAGAAAAATGCATTAATAGTAGGTGTTAGAGTTAAAGCTAGAGCTAGAGCTAGAGCTAGAGCTAGAGCTAGAACTAGAGCTAGAACTAGAGCTAGAGTTAGAGCTAGAGCTAAAGCTAAAGCTAGAGTTGATGTTTTGAATATATGTTATGCTAGACCAGAAAGGGAACCAAGCCAAGGAAAATTTTAAAGGAAACAGACTCGAGCCGACATACGTGACTACGAGGTCAAGGTACTAAAACCAGATCCAGCTCGTAAACCAAGTCAAAAAAATAGAGCTTCGTCCATCTTTTTACAGGTTTGTCGCTCTGCCTTTGTTAGCCTTACTTAAACTTCCTGCCTTGAACATTTGGCTTACAAGGAAGATACTCAACCTGCAACGCTCAGATTTGATTCAAACTTTTTTTGTGGCAAGGTCATGTAAATGTAAGACCTTATGCAAATTATTAAGTTGCGGTTTGCGGCGAGTCTCGAGAAAATCGAGATCAAACAATCACTTTTCGAACTTCCCGCCAAATTGGCATTGTGTTTCAAGCTCATAGCTTTGTCATTTTTTGACTTTTAATAATTTTCCTTTGATGTACTAATAGAAAACCTGTTAATGAGCTTACGTTTTTAAATTTGTAAGCGTAGATCGTCTAGAAAGTTGAAAAAAGGGCTTGCAACGCTATGCCAAATTTGCCAATTTGGCGGGTAATTCAAATATTTAATTTTCAAAAATTAAGACCGCAAGCTAAGATTTTTTATGTGTACTATTGGTGGTATAAAGAATTCATATAAAAAGTTTGAGCTGATTCTGAGAGTTGCAGGTTGGGCACTTTCCTTGTTAGTTTGCTCTCTTTTACTTTTGTCTTAAGCATCTGCGTTGGTTTCTCTCCTTAACACCTTGCTAACAGCAGTACTTTACAATTTCTATTTAAATTTTCAACTTACTTGCAAGTATCATGAAAGTTTCTAAACAACTTGGCAGTAGAGCCTTCCAGAACTCCATTTAGCGTCTCCATGAAGTGTCTACTACAATGTCCAGCACAGCCACCTATAGCAGCGCTATTGTCAACCTGTTCAGCTCGCTGCCGGTAATCTTCTTTCACAAGTGGTGGTATAACATCATATTGGTCTTCTGCTGTGCGTTCAACTGTTGGTCTGTAAAGCTACTGTAATTTTTTTTAAGAACATTTTGATCCTACTAAGAGTAAGCCTGGAGCTACTGAGTGGGTTCTACGGTAGTTATGATTTTTTGAATTTTGGGCCTTAAGGGCATCAAAATAAAAAATATAATTTTCATGTTCTATAGCGCTTCCTGTCTACATTAAACGTTTTACATTGATCACAATATCACTTTTTAAAAATAAATGTGATACGTATGCCTTGTGTCAGCCTTTATTGCCTAAAGTAGTGTAAATACGTTACTGTACGGTATATTAAATTTCTATCGCTTTAAACTACACTTATAATATCATTTACAGACAGTTTTTTTAGTAAATTTGTTCTTTGACTTAAACTTCTAACTTTTTAAATCTTCTTAACACTATAAGCACTATCTGTTACAATGATCATGATAGCAGTTTTTTTAAAGTATAATTTAGATAATTATGTTTTTTTACCATTGTGGTTATTACTGTAAGTTCTCATTATACAAGTAGAATAACGCAAAAGATAGGGTAGAGCAGGGCAAAGCAAGGTAAGGTAAAATGAAAAATAGGGTGATCTATATAGAGTAAGGTAAGGTAGCCTTGGGTGTGGTAAGGTAGAGTCGGGTACGATAGAATAGACTACAGTATGATTGGGTACAACAGAAAAAACTACAGTAGGGTAGGGTAGGGTAAGGGTAAGGGTAGGAAGGGTAGGGTAGGGTAGGGTAGGGTAGGGTAGGGTAGGGTAGGGTAGGGTAGGGTAGGGTAAGGTAGGGCAGGGTAGGATAGGGTAAGGTAGGGCAGGGTAGGGTAGGATAAGAGTAGGAAGGGTAGGGTAGGGTAAGGGTAAGGGTAGGAAGGGTAGGGTAGGGTAGGGTAGGGTAGGGTAGGGTAGGGTAGGGTAGGGTAGGGTAGGGTAGGGTATAAAGCTCTTATAAAAAGACCATTTCACCATTGCTTTCATCACAAAGAACGGCTATAACTCTCTTAACATTCGTGACTATTGTAACATTAATTATGCTAATTTTTGATTTTGTAACATTTTTCAGATTAAATTTTTACTTTCACTTATTAAAAAGTTGTAAACTGTTCTTAAAACCCAAAAATTCGTTTGAAATTAGGACATTTGAGGATTACACTGTACTTGGCATTTTAAAGTGCAACAGCTCAATGTCATACTTAATACACTTTTTTAAACAGAGTTTTCATTTTTTTAAATTAAAAAAATTAGTTTTAAAAAAATTTGTGGAAAAAGTCTTGTCGTTATTTTACATTGGTTTTCACGTTCAAAAACGACAAGACTTTTCAAGAGCTTTTAGCTGCTGTTTTTTGTCACAAAATGACTTACGGATCAAGAATACTGTGCCGATCTAATGGCGAATTGAACTGGCCATAACTCGAACCTAGCAGAGTTAAACCGGCTAAAACTTGTAGCAGCGGCTTCATAATAGGCTTGAAGTTATGAAAATAAGAAAAATATTAAATTTTGCTTAATTTTTTGTTGTTAATCACACAACTAATCATTCCTTCTTATTCTCAGTGAATAAGCCTTATAATATTTTTAAATATTGATTTCACAACTATTTGACCTTTGGACTGCATTATATGTGTCCTCACAAGGTAAGCTATATTAAATGTTATTTTTATTAGGGCATAACCAAGGCTAAGGTAAGGCAAAACACTGAATAAAGACCAGCCAAAGGACGGGTAAAGTAGTGGAGAGACAAGCTAACGCAAAGATAAAGCAAAGGTAGAACAAAAGCTAGCCAAAAAAGGGTAAAAAAAGTTAAAAGCAAGGTAAATAGACAACAGAGGTGGGGTAAAGGTGAGCTAGAAAGTGGCAAAAAAAAGGATAAATAAAATACAAAAGCAGGGCAAAGGCAGGGCAAAGGCAGAGCAAAGGCAGGGCAAAGGCAGGGCAAAGGCAGGGCAAAGGCAGAGCAAAGGCAGAAATCTCATGTCAATCTGTTGATTACCAGTGTCAAGCATTAATAAGTTCAATTTTTTTCGTAAAACATTTTTGAATTATTTTTTATTTTATTTTTTAAGTTAAAGTTTTTCTTTCAATCTGCGTCAGAACGTTTGATATGTAATTTATTATTTAATGAAATGACTGAACTGCAGGTGCAATTTCGTATGTAATATTTTGGTCTAAGTGCAACGGCAGTATGTAGGCTAATGTCACACTTTTTTGTAACTTTAGGTTGGTTAAGAATAGTATATCTCTATAGTAATTTGGCATTAAAACTTTAGATAACAATTTCAGAGTATGGTATGGGGACTAAAAAAGTACGGAAGGTAGATTGAGGAAGTAAAGCTAAGGTAAGGGTAAGGTAATTAAAAGGCTAAGTAAGGCTGAACCAGAACTATAGTAGACTAAAAGGTAAGGCAAGGCTAGCATAAAGCCAAGGCTAAAGTGATGCTAAGGTAGGCTAACTGTAAGTCAGATCTGCCAGAAGCTGAAAAATTAAGGTATGGCACTTTTATTTTAAATATTTTAGTCATTTGAGAAAAATTCTAAAAATAAATTTTTAAATTTTAAATATACTCAATTTTAAACCGGCTTTACATTGATAGTAAATCCAGACATTTTGCTAAATTTCTCCAAAATTAGCAGCTAAAAACAAGATTATCGAGTTAAAAATAAACGTTTTATTAGCTGTCACCGAGCTCAATTATCTTAATACGGGATGGAACGTTAGTTATTTATAGATTTATCTTAATATTTAGTATGTTAGAAAAGTAATATCTGACTTGTGAAAGTTAATTCTACCATTTTACAAATTTTTAAAATTGTAGAAAAGTTTTGTCGTTTTTTAACTTGCAAAACAACGCGAAAATGCGACAAAACTTTTTTTGCCAAATTTTTTGGTTTTTTTTTAAATTTATGTTTTGGCATTTAAAAGATAATGTAGATTTAAAAACTTTAAAAAACCATCAAACACCTAGCTAAAAATCATATTGTTACCTATAATAGTAATGATGACCTAGCTACTACAACATCTATAAAAATAGCTAGAATTTCTTATTTAAACCCACTTATGCCATTCTCAATCACATGCCAATACCATAGCCCGTTTACCACGCAATAAGTGGTATTACCAGAATAGATAATAGTCGGGGAACAAATCCGATAAGCACATCTATCTAATATTAGAAAAACAGGATAAGCTGCAAAAAATTGCTAAAAACAAGGTGTGCGGTTAAGAGGTGTCGTAATTTCATTTGTAGATGTCACAATATGAGTATTTTTATTTTTTTAAATTTTTTTAAAGTTCAAGAAAGTTTATTTTTTTAACGCAAGAAGTTTAATTCGAGACGTGAGGGTTGATAGTGAGGGTTTGGTGAAGTCCGTCAGAACAATCCATAGTACCTGTTTCCAATTAGGCCTCATTCAAGTGATCTTGTTTTTCAAGGTACCGAGATCAGGCGTTGTTCATGACTTCTGGCCGTTTTAGGAAGCTTGTGTAGGCCTAGCAACCAATTTATCATAGTCCCCGTGCACTTAGCACTACTCGTTCATCTAAATTATAAATGCATCTCTCTGGGCCAGGGTTCTGGGGGGCTTTAGGCTAGGGCTTTGGGCTAGGGCTCTGGGCTAAGGCTTTGGGCTTGGAGTGAGGCTAATACTCTGGGTTAAGGCTCTGGGCTAGGGCTCTGGGCTAGGGCTCTGGGCTAGGGCTCTGGGCTAGGGCTCTGGGCTAGGGCTCTGGGCTAGGGCTCTGGGCTAGGGCTCTGGGCTAGGGCTCTGGGCTTTATTTGTTATATTCACCACGGTTGTATACCAGCTATTAATTAAGCATGAAAAGCTTTAAACCACCTAAACCGACTAATCTACCGTCGGCAGGATGTGATAAAATCTGTCCAGCGTGCAATCAACTTGCTCTTTTCTCAGTTGTCCTGAAATGACTCATGAAGCTTGGCATAAGTTGTATTGGAATTCTGTAATCTCATGAATGCGTTTAGAAATTGGAGTTATTTACGTAATCGGATGTGACAGCTATGTTCATATTAATCTCGTGATTACTCGAGTAATCTTTTTTCTTTTGAATTATACGTTTTTGTTAGGTATACGGGGGTAAAACGTACCGTTTACTCGGTAATTATGTTGATTTATATATTTAGTACTAAAAGACTAATCAAGGGTAGGGTAGGGTACAATAAAAAATTTTTAAAAAATTAATAAAAATTTTTTAGTAATTAAAAAAATTTAAAAAGTCATTTACCACTAAAATTTCAACAATTTCTTGACATTTAAATTTGCTTACCAAGGTGTTCTGGCTCTTAATCCCAGCGTCGCTTTTGATGTCACCATCCGGTGCGATGCCTTATTTTTGTCTTTGGACTATGGGCATACGTGCTCAATTGAATATTCAAGGCATGATATTGTTTCAACACAGTAACATTTATTTATATTGAATGGATTAGCGATAAGATAATGTAACTTTTTTGTTACAACGTAAGGTGGAATGACGGGAAAGACAATAGTGGTAAAAAAATTCTTATTGTGAAGTGTTGGGCGTACGGACGTAACTTTCTCTTCCACCTTGATTTTTTTCTTTTTGTAATTTAAAAAAAAATGTTTCTGGCTGAAAACAAAAAATCAAGCTTAGGCTAGCTGCTTGGAACCAATAGTTGCTCAATTTACTAATTTTTCAATAAATGGAAAAAATGTGTGAAACGGTCCGGGTATGAAATTTAAGACTTAGCCCGTATCTCTAAAGGGGATCCACTAAACCAGGCCAAAGCAACTTTGAAACGGATTGGCCAGCACATCTAGGCTTGACGCCAGTCCTAAAGCTAAGGCAAAGAAGTTAGACTCGGCTCAAACCCTTTTTTACAGATATACCGGGCCACGTGGTCAATGTAAACTTTATTTTGTTATAGTTTCTGTATTAATAAAAGCTTTTAAAACTTAATTTTCGCAGATTAAAACATTTTTTTCCAACTGTCACATGATGTCTACCTCACAACTTAAGAGTACTCTCTTCTAACAATGAATTGTCTTCCACGAGACATTCAATAAGGAAGTGTAGTGTACGACCTCAATTTAATATCATTTTAAACCTAAAATATAATCTTATTTTTTTGAAACGTTTTAAATTTAACTTTTTAACTTCAATTGAGTTATTAAACTTGATTTGTAGGCACATACGTATTAATATTATACAACATCTTTTTGCAAAATTGCGATATCTTTTAAATACCATTTTCTATTGTGAAACTATAAGATAGTACCGTACTACAAATTCTTAATTTACACAATAAAACTCTATACAAGAAACTCTTTTATAGTATTACAATGTCATTTTTTCAAAATTTTGATATTTTTGAAAATTTATGTTTTGTGTCATTGTTGTATAATTAAGTTCAGATGCGACTTATCCTATGTTGTAGGGCTTACTTTGGTCGTGTTTTAAATACAGTAAAACTTTTTTATAAAGAATTGCTTGGAGATTTAAAATTTGTTCGTTATACGGAGCCGGTGCGCCAAAAGTTCTGTTATACAACGTGCGCCAAAAGTTCTGTTACAAAACTTTACCGGTCGTTTTCTCTATGTTGCAAAAAAAAATTATTTAAAATGTTTTATTTTAGCTTAGTCTCCGTGTTTTTTATTGTATAATTAAACGTTAAGTCTTCATTGCCTACCGTCTGTCTGTATTTAGATGATAAATCTGTATTTAGATGATAAACATGAGAACTACCGTCATCAAATTACATAATGAAGAGAAAAGTAACTCCAAAATGTATAGGGGTTAGTTATAAACGAGTTTTACTGTATAAAGCAGGCCGACCAGGCTCGTAGCAAGGCGATCAATTGTACAAGATTTATATTGTACTTGCAAGCGAAAAAACGTCAAAACTTTTTAAAAATTTATTTTTGTATCGAAGAGGTAATATTTAAATAATTTTGTACTGATATCAAATGACTTAACTTTATAGAAACGTAAATTACACATTACATTACATAGTAGAAAATATCACAAAAGATTTGTAGTACATACAGCTACATAAAGTCAAATAGTTAATTTAAAATTTGAAAAAAGTCTATGATGGGCATTTGATGTCTATCAAGTAGGGCAATTGTACTCGTTAGTACGTAGACATGATCGTATGTTGTAATGGAAATAATGTAAATGAAAGTTCGTTAAAAGGGTAATTTGGTATGTTGTAGTTTAAACCGTGGTATGATAATGTCATTTTTTAAATCAAAGTATAAATTTGATGAGTATCAAGTGTTAGGTGATGTATATGACGTTCTTTCGTAATATAGAAAGTCATTTTTTGTTTTAATGGCTAGGGCTGGAGCTAGAGCTTGAGCTGCAATAATTTACCTCTACTTATAATCTCACCTAAATAGTAGTAAAAGTACATGTAAGATGATGCGTAGATAAGACTATAGTGTAACGAATTAAGCTTTGAAAGATAGACTATGATTTCTTAAT